GAACACTTTAAGCGTTCTCATCAAAGCGGCGAAGACGGCCCGAGAGGCGGCGATGGTGGTGGTGGGGGAGTGGGCGGCGGGAGGCGGGCCTTGGGGAGAGGTGATGCAGGGCGGCGAGGGCGGAGGAGTGCTCTCTACAGCGCCAGGCATTTTACAGCCGATACACTTGTGGAGGATGAAAAGAGGACGCGTTGCTCCTTCCTCCCCGCCGCCCTCGCCCTCGCCGCCCTCGCCCTCGCCGCGCCCGAAAAACCGGCGCGAGAAGCGCCAGTCAAGTGGCGCGCCGGAGTTGGCAGCGGTTCGCCTCCTCCGCCCCGGCGCCCCGGCGGAGAGCGATGCCTCCGCGCAGAGGCCCTCGGCCGAAAAGGTGAGCCTCAAAGGAGTCGCGCGGGAAGTTCCTCCGGAGAATCGGCGTTTCAGAGCTTTCTTATCTTCACAAATACGATCGCCCACACATTTCGCTGCCTTTTCTGTATTTTCACTGAGAAGCATCAGCTTATTGAGCCAATCTTTCAAGGCTAATATTATTTTGTATTATTTTACAGAAAAATATAGAAGTATGTGAAGAAGTAATTACAGATAAAAAAAGGACGAGTCAATTTCTCTCTCTCCCTCTCTCTCTCTCTCTCTCTCTCTCTCTCTCTCTATCTCTATCTATCTAATTCTCTCTCTCTCTAATATACATAAAGACGAAAAAATATCAATGTGATAAAGATTTTACTGAAAATGTCTTTGGAAAAAACTAGAGGCCTGCAAAACTGCCGCAGTAGTGTGTGTAGAAACCGGGCTCCCACAGCAGCAAAAAGAAAGAAAAAAGAAGAAAAAATAGACTGAAAAGGCAAACGTGAAAAATAAGATTTTTTCTTCTTTGTCGCATTACGTTGTGTATCGTCAGCACTGACCCAGCGAATATGAGAATGCAGTTGTAAGCCAGATACGAGAAATTGCGCAGCGAGTTTTCAAATTTGTACGAATGCAATAGTAACATTATAAACGAGTTTGAAACGCTATTTTTATTCAACAGAGAAGTAAGAGAATCAAACTTTCTTGTGACGTCTCGGCTATTTGACAGCTGTGCGAGAAAATGGTGGTCGGCTGCTCCGTTTACCGCTACCTCCCCACGATTGGCTGAACGTATGGTGACGCAATCATTCTTGCCGTAAAATGCTCATA